GATGGCGTTTTACTTGTTTTTAATGAATGTATTCCATGTAAACCAGTAAGTTCGTCCCAATTCCACGATTTACTTTTGGGCGCATATACCCCTATAATACGAAAGTTTTGTTCTAACTGCACATCTACTACACATACATTTGGCACATCACAACTCACGGGTTTACATGGAATACATTCATTAAAAACAAGTAAAACGCCATCCCAACTATTTTCGCCCTTTTGATAAAACAATTTAAAATGAGGAAAGATTTTTTGGATACAACTATACTCTATAGAGCCAGTTTCCAATAATACCATACAATCCGACTTTAGTCTTTCATAAATCAGAAGTACTTCATGCCATCGTTCCTCGAGTCCTCAAACATTAAAAAGCAGGACATTTAAATTTGATACAAAGGAAACCGGATTCACATATTCATATGATTTTCATACAAAAAAACACCTATTAAGAGTAGGAAAAGAATGCTATTCTCTAATAATATCGGACAAAAGACAAAAGTCAAAATCTGACAATAGTGCACGAGTAAGAGACAAAGCATATTCAATATCGAATTTTTTCACACTGATTTTCTTAAACATAAAAGGAGAAAAAGGAGAGAAGGGCACAGCAGTGGGAGATAATTCAAACCCATTAGCCCCCTTAGTCATTATTTGCGGACGTCTTAACATCCATACCTGCTTCTAAACGTTCAGGATGTACGCCTTCTTGTTGTATTTCTCTCTCTTTATCTTTATTTTCTGAGGATTTTTTCCATGTTAATTCATGATCCGTCAAGAACTTAAAACAAATAGCCGTTAACGATTGACTAGAAACTGATTTGTCATCTAATATTTGTTTCTCGACTAATAATGGAACCACCACTGCAATAACTTGACATACCGGGATAACATGAACATTAACAAAATCTTGTAGTAATGATATATTCATCTGATGAACTTCAAATAAATGCTTATGATCAATTACCATATTTTGTATGGTTTCTTGTTGCTCTACTATTTTTCTAGTTGTATGTATCATCCGCTCAAGCTGATTTCCCATTCGATCTACCTTCATCTCCATTTCTTCCAATCGTTTTTCGAAGTCATTTCCTCCAATCCATTGTCGACTCACATTGTTTCCATTTAATGGCGGAAAATCTCGGTCATTTTGTTGATACATTGGACTGTTTCGAATAAGAGTAGTAGTCCGAGACGATAACAGTGATCATTTTAGGACAGCCCGGTAAGATTTGATCTCTGGGCACCGAACATCGGACGATTACATCGGATGCAGTGTTGCTGTGTATCACATTCCTCCTTATGATGCTCGATATCCGGGACACTTTTTCCAAAAGTTCTACAAATATCTAGCGCCTTTGTACATCGGCTACGAAAATGGCCAATCTCGAAACACTTGGTACATACCAAAACTTTGGCAGGGGTAATAAATTCTGCCACTGAATATCTCATATTATTAACATTCATATATTTCTTTTTCAATAGATCATCCATCGTTTTGATACTCGTGACATCCAACCGAATTATTGTCGAAGGATTATTGTTTTTGTTTGAAATACGAAACGCCTTTACAATGTCAGGGTATTCGGCTTGGATATCTGATATTAAACAATCGGTATTCACTTCAATTGGTACGTTTCGCAAAACAACCGAGAACTATGGTGGTAGATATTTTGGAAAATGTTTTCCGTATTTTAATGTACTAATTGTTATCGGCCAATTATTTTCGTCAAGTAACAATAGGAAGGATTCTCGATTCTCGACGAATAGTAATAGATCACGCCTTTCCTTGAGGCGATGACCGATGAGAGCAATCGTCACATCGTGTTGATTTCTGAAGTGATTTTTTAGATCAGATATTATTATACTTTCAGTCACATCTTGAGAAAAGCGAATGATAAACGGTGGGAAGGGGTATCTGGTTTCTGCAAAACGACGTGCTTGTTGACTGATACCATTAACAATATGATTTTGAAGATTCTCATTGTGTACCATCTTTGTTTTCTTTTTTTTATGATTGACTTCGATGAAGCCATCATAATAATCCATATTCCTTGAAGGCGAGGTTGTCACTTGAGGACAGGCTAGAGATTCACCAGGCAAGCTCCGCTGCTGTGATACTTCCTGTGGATTTTGACCCGACCAAGATTGTTGATTATTTATAAATTGCAACGATTGACCATATATTTGATTATTGGACATCGTATAAGGTATATTCGATGAAAATGGATGTTGACCCTGACAACTATTACTTGCCAAAATTTGATGTTGGGGAGGGGGAACAAAACACGAGGAAATCGAGTGATTTTGTTGATTCGAATTCATTTGCGTATTAGCCACCATTGATGGAGGTATCGGGTAATGTTGATACTGCTGATGATGCTGTTGCGAGGAAACAGACGTTTTATTTGACGCCGGCTGTTCACAGAATCAATATCAAACAACGATCATTGATCGATTGTATTCGGCACATTCTCAGGCGCAAATAAGAAACGAGCTAGACTACCGTGATTGTGTAAAAAGGTTTGAGTACTTACCAAGAAAGGTTGTCGTGAGCACCTCGAATACTTGATTCTCCTCGAATACATTCTGTTTCGTGAGAAAATTGAGATCAATAATTTGAATTGAATCAATATTTCGAGAAAAGCAACCATTGACAAGACGGGAAAGTAACGAAGGGACAGATTTTTCGTCGTCTTGTAGCTTGAGTTTGATGGCAGGCTCTTTCTTAAGCTCAATTAGACAAGACGAGTCCTCTAGATCAATCAAGATGTGTCCCGATGGTGTGAGGTTAGGCAATTTGAGAGAAAATTCTTTATTTGCTTGTGATGCAAGAAAGGAGGGTTGAATACGCGCTGCCTCGGGCAGTGTACCGATACCAAACCAACAATTGAATTCACGTGCTGCGCTGTCAGCCAGACGGAGAATTTGATCATCAGTCAGCTGTAGTGTACTGTCCAGAACGACAATAAGGCTCGACTTGAGGGCAACAACTGCTGCACTACTGAAATTCGTTGTTATTATAGCTAAGAAATCAAGTCGGTCATTGGTAAACGTGCGCTTGTCTTTCATGACTAGAGGACGAAGCATTTTCTTGCGTATCTCGGGAGATGGCTTGCCAACAAAACATTTGGATTGTATGCGACGAAGTATGGCTTCGTTCATCATATTTCGTCTGTTCGTAGCGCCGAGAATGATTAAATTCGG